ACACACACACACACACACACACATACACACACACGCACACAACAACAACAACAACAACAACAATAACAACAACAACAACAACAACAACAACAACAACAACAACAAAACATAAATACCCAACAGATTTTTCCCAGAAGACAGGAAAAGCTTTTCAAGATTTTTATCTTCCGCAGGCATGAAGGAAGCGGTGCCTATGTGGATCTACACCGCACAAGTCAGCGGAGACAACTCTCAGGACAAATTCGCCGCCATCTCCCCGGGAATGTATCAGCTGGGGCCGAACACAGTTGCTAGGCAACGCACCGGACATTACGACACAGACGCTGCGCAGTGGAAGAAAGGGTTCTCATCCGGTATGTATGTCCAAATGCGCCATCTTTCTGGCTCTTTGGCTTCCTGGTTATCTGGCTGTCTTTTATGCCCGTGGACATCAATACACGCACAGACATTTAATTTGTGTGGGAAGGACTTCCGTAACGACCGACCACCACAACAAACAAAAATATGTGAGAAGAGACCTAACCCTAACCCTGACCCAAACCCTAACCCTACCCCTACCTGTACCCCAAACCCTACCCCAAACCTTAACCCTACGCCTACCCCAAACCCAAACCCTACCTCTACCACAGACCCTACCCCTAACCCTAACCCTCCATTCTACTCGGTTTGTGAGTGGTTGGCGGGTGCTCTGGTGTGGTTTGCTCCTTCTTTCCCATCGAACATCTATAATCCTTATCTCCCCTTCTTTTTTATGTTTGTTACTCTCTTGCAACACCTCTAATCTTCTGGCGCTCATATGACCTTTTGCAGTTGCGAGCGCCGTAAAACCTCTACTAAAACTAAAACTAAAAACTACTCGGTTTCATAGTGGTCTCTCGTTACGGAATTCCTCCCTTTGGGTGTGTGTGAGAGCCAAGAGAAAGGCCCCAGTTGTCAGAAATTTTGGATATTAAAATAGAGCATTTTTAGTGGTAAATTCAATGTTGAACATACTGATTAACATTGTTTCTAGTATATTTATTAATTAAAAAGACATGCCGTATTTTGTAACACAGGGTACAAAAACACAGTTTGGAGAAAAACAAAACAATTTCTAGAACAATTTTAACCTTCGGTAAAGTACAACGACATGTTGCAAAAATATTTAATAACAAGCATATTGACTTAGAATAGTTTTTTTTAAAACTTTCAATATGTTATTAAGAAATGTTTTAAAATGTGTTTTGTGTTAGAACTTAAATTTTGACGTGGTACGACCTTCTTTTTCTTCTCATTTTCTCCCCGTTACTCAAAAATAGCCTTACCGACAGTTGGGACCTTTCTCCATTCCCACAAACACATTTATTTACAAAAAATCCTCACGTTCCCTCACCATGCACATTCATTTACACAAACACTTATTTTTTTTAAATCTTCACCTTCTCTCCAAATACATATCCATACACACTAACATTTATATATTTTAAAAAAACCATCACTTTCCCTCATCATGCACACCCATACACACAAACATTTATTCATTTACAAAAACCTTCACCTTTTCCCATCAACCACATCTATACACACAAACATAATTTATTCACTATTCACAAAAACCATCACCTTCTCTTACATAATATCGTGAGCGCGCTTCGATAAGCGTCTCATTCGTCAACTGTGAGCAGCGCTGTAATGTGAGGCTACTGGCAATATGATTTTCTTCTCGCAGTTCATGAGTAGAGGTATTGGCCCGAAGAAACAAAAAACCCACATCAAATTTGTCGATTTTAAATTGATGCCACTTTCTTTAAAATAAACTTGTCTTTTTACCATTTCACGCCATGGAATGTACAAACCAAACCTATGAATTCTGTGTATCTGTGTCCAGGTAAGCACGTGTTTCAGATCGTGTTCCTCATGTGTTGATAAGGACGTTAAACCTATACCATACTATTTTATGAAATAGTTATGCGTCCACTGTGTCCCACCAGGCAAGCACGCGTTTGAGAGCGTGTTCTCCATGTCCCATAGGGCCACTTAAATAACCTAACAATGTTGATAGGGACGTTAAACCTGTCGTTGTATATTATATACAATCTCACCATTTTTTATAAAGCTCTATACGTCCACTCTCCC